TAAATTCTGCAATTATTACTTGAATATGTTTTTTTCTGTTTATTTCAGGAACACTGACTTTCACAAAAGAAATTTAAAAATTACACATAAGGAGGAAATTTAGGATAATTTTGAAGGACATCAGGTATGAAGGACTGTGAATTTTTACTTGAGGGAATGTCATCAAAAATAAGTAAAACAGAAGAGTCAAAGTATATTAGAAAATGATAACAGGCTATTTTTTTGTTTTATAGATTTACTAAATTTTAAGTTTTACAAACCTAGTCTTCCCAGTGTGCTCATTTGTAAAATAGATTGACATTAAAGGGTTTTTCTTTGTAATTTCCTTCTAAATAATGCATAATTATATAATAACTCATTTTAAATTCAATTTATTTCTTTATTGTGATTGCTCATTAAAATTATATGTTACGGAGAATATATATTATAATTTTACTTAAAAAATACTGCCAAAGCCTTTAATCATTTCTCAATAGTTAGTTACAGGGCTCACAAGACATAAAGTAATATATTAAAAACACATCTGGGCCCAGAATGCAAATATCAGGAAAATAAGAAACAGAACAGAGCATCACTAGTGAAATGTGTAAGGATTAACCCCCTACACAAAACTTTGTTGATTTTGTCAAGGTCTCATGTTATGTTCTTGAAGTTTCATACTAGTGCATTGTTCCTATATGTTTAATTAAATTAGTCAAAAATACAAAATTATAATGATTTTATACAAAAATATATTTGCATAGCTGGTTAAAGATGAATAATCAAGACTATTGTAATAGTCTTTCAGGCTGTGTGAGAAAATGCTTTAGCTAAAAGGATATTCTGCATTTGCACCTTTTTAATTTAATGCCTTGGAAGAAGAGTATCCAATTTGATGCAAAGGGAAAATCTCAGAAGACACCATTTCTTTTTATTTATCCTTTTTCAATTTTTCGCCAGTCCTGGGGCTTGAACTCACGTCCTGAGCACTGTCCTTGGGCTTCTTTTTGCTCAAGGCTAGCACTCTTAACACTTGACCCACAGCACCAGTTCCAACATTTTTCTTTTTATGTGGTGTTGAGGAATCAAACCCATGGCTTTGTGCACACTATGCAAGCACTCTGCTACTTGGCCACATTCCCAGCCCAGAAGACACTATTTGTGTGAATCTTTTTGTTTTTGCCAAATTCTAACTCTTTTCTTTCAAAGATATGGTTTAGTAAATAGAAAGTCTAGTACTTGCATGGAATTCTGCAAACAGTACAATAAATAATGCACCTGGACAGGATAGAAATCTAAGTGCAGTTTGCAACTTTGAAATTGGCTTTAAATATATAATAAGTACCTGTTAAACTGCAGCTCACACAGCACTTTCAGGTTTTCTGTCTTTTTTGTGTGTATGTTGAATAGCTGTCAATGAAAGATGTCTTGAATTTACTTTTCACATTTTTCTATTAATTAAGCAAATACAGTCTCATAAAGGATAGTTGGTCATTTTATTTTCTCTTAAAAAGTATAACTACCATAATTATGAGAAAACATAACTATTTGGTCTCCTAAATTCCGTCAAATCATGGAATTAGTACAATTTCAAGCAGGACCTTTAATGATAGTCTTGTGCCATCTCTTTCCGTACTTATATTTTGGTCAGCTCCATTTGCTGCCAAATTGCATGGTTAAACATCAGCATTGTTGTTCTTGTGTGCATATGTGATTATGGACTAGATAAACATGTATAGTTTCATGCATGCATACACATATACATACACATTGCATATAGATGTGAATATATATAGAGATATAAAATAAAAGCTAATAAAATATTAGATAATTAATTATTCATTTAGAATCAAACATTGCTTGAATGGCAGCATATAAAGTTTTAGCGCCAAAACTTTTCTCATTTTATCTCAATTCAGGTGGATATGCTAATGAAAACATAAGTATAATATTTATTTAATCAAACTTAACAGTTAGCAGTTAAGATATATACAATCTTTTCACAGCATGATGTCAATTAATTCCCAGAATCACACTGCTAATTTACAAACTGAATCTTAGTTTTCTTTGATTTACACTGTTGTAGATTTTCACTCTCTCAGAAGATGAATGGATGAGCGAGATTAGACATCTTAGACTATGTTTACTCTTGTGAAAACAAGTCAGTGTGATTACTGTTTTCCCAGGCATGATACGTATTGTATCTCTTATATGAGAATCGCATTTACCATATGAGCAAACCTGGAGTGGGCTTATACAATGACTACTGCCCATCCTGTTCTTTATTGTCTATACCAGAAAGAAGTTGAAAAAAAACTCTTTTGGACAAATGGACACATTATCTTAATTAAATATGACTTTCAACATATTCTGGCACATTCACCCATGTGTCGTCCTTCTGATACAACTTTTCTTATTCCCATAAATTTATGATTAGTTGAAAATAGAAATTGATGATGGATGGCAACTACTTAAGTTCTTGTCTAATATAAAAGTATTTGCACATCTGTACATCATACTGAATATGAAGCTCATTCAGTAAGGTAATTAGGTAAGATGACTTTTATTTGGAGCCTATGAAATCAACTGTATTTAGAAGTAAGGTATTGCTTTTCACTAATGCAAATGTTAGGTTTATGAGGTGGGCAGACAAGCAGATTCAAGTTCAGGAATCACCACCTTCATTTACTATTCTTTTTTTTTTGGGGGGGGAATCCGGTCATGGGGTCTGAACTCTGGGCCTGGGCACTGTCCCTCAGCTCTTCAGCTCAAGGCTAGTGCTTTACCACTTGAGCCACAGCACCACTTCCGGCTTTTTTCTTT